CTCCCTCCTCTTTGTGGCAACCCCTCAAATACTGGAGCTCTGCTATCATGCTTCCACTAATCAACATTTGTTTATGAACATCTTTCTCTGAACTGGCTTCTACCTCCACCTGATTTCCAAGCCGATTTGTTTCTTATTTGATCTTCAGAAACTTGCAAAATAATGTCAGGAACAATTGGGGAAGAAACAAGCTTTGTTTTATTCTTTTTAAAAAAATCATCTCTGTTGAACATTCTTTACTGGAACTGTGATGCAGCTTGCAGAACGAAATATGAATACAAAAGCATTCTGGAATGCAGACTTCATGCCACCATTTGTCTGGGCTGTAATCTGAGAGTTGCAACATATGTGAGAACTAACAAAGAGCCACAGCCAAATGTCACCTTTGCCCACTAGAGGATTGGACATTGCGGGATCTGTTAACACATGCCTGGTAGAAGATATTGTCCACATGAGGCTGGTTCAGTCTCTGGCCCATTAAGTCAAACATAGGCTATAGTCTGTGGATTTTCTTTGGTATAAGAAACTTAGTTGTATAAGTCTACTCTAAATATAAAAATGTCCCATTACAGCAGTCTCCCAGAATTCCAAATCCCCCAGTAGACTGATTCCCATTATATCCCCAGTGGATTTATGGATCTTGTAATCTAATACACATAGAACATGGATGTCAAACTCAATCACGTTACATAATGCACTGTGATGTATTGTGAGGTATTTTGCCTTTGCGGAGCCCAGGTGGGCGTGGCCTGTGTGTGACGCATCTAGCCCATGGGCCACCAGTTTGACAGGCCTGATCTAGAAGGTGCCATATTGAGGAAATTTGCCTTGCTTTATTGGAAGAAATGTCCATCTGGGTTCAGTTCCAAGTGGGGAGAAAGGCACTGGAAACATGGTGACTGTTTGGAAAGATGGTTTTAATGGTGGACAGGACCATATGGTTTGGGATCCTGGGCAAAAAAAGCACATGGAGTGGAGAGAGTGATATATTTATACACTCTCTTGAGCCCTGCCTTAGAGTTTCCTGTTTCTGTACAAGAAATGTATCCCATTGACTGTCAGACTCCCAGGGGGCGGGGGTCTTAGCTAACTTGGTAGGCTGTCTGTGTTCCAGGCTTGGTTGAGCCTTGCTGGTTGATGTAATCTTCCCAGGTGCCATGTGGTGAGATGGTTAGAGGGCTAATCCTATCATGTTCTGAGGGCCATATCTTAATCCCATCACCCTGGAGCTGAAGGGGGAGGGGGAGGGAGCTGGAGGAAGCTGCTTTGTCTTTAAAAACACGTTTCTCCTTTTTTCATCCAGGAAAATATAATATTCTGCCTCTTTAATATTTCCTAGACTATTTCATTCTTCTAGGAGTGGGGTGGGTGCTCACTTCCTACAGCTTCATTGCATGACTCTAAACAGATATATTTACATGAGTCATAATTAAGATTTAACATGGTTAACACTGCTTATTCTGTCCATTCATTTGCACTATAGCACAATGAGAAAGGTTATTTTTAGGGGATCTGCAGTTAAAGCTGTTTGTTAATTTCTTGGTGTTTAGCTTGTAGCTCTGGCCTTACATCTTAAACAGCTCCCTAAAAACTAGTGACTCCAGAAAAAAAAGTTGCCATAAATTATAACTTTTAATTTAATTAGGGTATTGCTTATATAGCCCTTGGCATGAAAAAGAACTGTATTCTATATTGCCATATAGAAACATGTTTGTTGCATTACATCCAAGATGATTTTTTCCTTTAATAAAGAATTACTAGAAAATTAGAATAGTCCATGCAAACAATTCATTCCAATCTTTTTATGCTAGTTTTGGGGACAATAAGGTCTGCAATTATATTCTTAGACGGTCTCAGTGTTATTCTGAGGATCTTGCTTTTCATTACCAAATCATGACTACCAGGCTTCATACAAATCAGTGCTTGAATTAGATGGTTTTCAAATCTGAAGTCCTCCGCATCAAACAACAGCAGATATCAAGGCCTGACTCTTTTGGTCCTGATCGAAATAAGCGCTTGGCCTTATTGCCATACACTCAAAAGCCCAGTTGGGCTTATTATCAGGGAATGTCTTATTTTGGGGGAAACAGGGTATATAGTTGGAGAATGCTTATCAAATCTACAAGTACACAGAATTGTGCAAATTAGCTAATATTCTAGAACAGTGTTTCTCAACTCTTGTCAACTTTATAATGCATGGATTTGATGATAAAGTGGTTGGAGAATTCTGGGAATTGAAGTCCACATATTTTCACTTAAAAAAAAACAAAAATCAAATGGATAGGATGAGAACTCAGCAACAGTACTTGTGCAAAGGTCTTGGAGTAGTAATTGATTAGGAATTGAATACGGCTCAGTATATAAAAAGATAAAAGTAATTTGAGGTTATATAAATGCAGTTTCCATTTCCAAATCATGGGAAATTTTTAGTAGTTCTGTTTACTCCATACTGAGCAGACCTCACCTTGAGTATTTCGGAGGAGCTGGAATAGGATCAGAGGAGGGCAATGAAGATGATTGAATGATTAGAAATTATATTCTATGAAAAGAGATAAGAGAAACTGGACCTGTTTAGCCTTGAGAAGAAAAGACCGAGAGCAAATATGATGGTGCTCTTCAGTTACAGGAATGTGTTAGAGCCTGTTTGGGAGGCAAAAATCTTTAGCATGTAACTGATTAATGTCTTATCAGTTTCAGGCAGCAGCACAAGCCTGTGGGAGGATACTAGTCAATTAATTAAAACCACTGAGTGGCTGCTTGTTAACTTGTGGTTAGCGCTTAGTAGGGAAGCATGGTGCCATAGAGAAAAGCCATACAGTCAAACATTGATTATATTTGACTACAAGGCTAAGGCTGCTAGATGAAGGACATGAGGATAAAAAGGAGGATATGTCCTTCTTTTGCTGGAGGTCTCCAGACCCTATCTCAGAATAGTAGGTCAGAATTTTTACTTAGCAGTAGGCAGGAAGTATGTTGATAGATAATATGCATAGGCATTAAGAAGACCAAGCATTCAAGGCAATAGAATGAACAAACCACTATCATTCTGCCCATGGTTTGTCTCTTATGGTGTATAAATCAGGAAAACCAGAGTAACAAAACAGGCTAGGATTCCTCATTACTGTGATACAATAATTATACAGTGGATGGAGTTGTTTTGGTTTGTTAGCCGTGGGCATTGTTAGGAAGAACTACGGAATCTGATTTAGCAATCCATACTAATATATTGATTGTCCCTTGATAAGTTGTTCCATGCCCCCACCAAAAAAAGACCTTTGCATTTCCCTATAAGTCATGTTCCAACACTATAATGATCTAACTTCAACCTAGTGCAATTTAAAACAAGATAATTAAACCATCTGGGTCTCCCAATATCATTGCAGAGTTATTCATCATCTTTATTTACCTTTTGACTTTTTTTGACAATAATTTCTATTTTAGCACAAATATCACGCTGTTTTATGACGTCTGTAATTTAAAAAGATCACAAGGGCATAAATAATACAATGAATAAAACAAAAATCTATTTAAAAAAGTTAACATAATACATCAACAATTATTAGAGTATACAGTAATTAAATTGTCAAGGAAATCAGGCAAAAGCATGGAAAAATAGATAAATTTTAATTGAGATTACATCCAGCGAATCTGCCTAGATTAATCTATATTATGGTTGTCAGTATTAAAGCTGTTCTTTTCCACATCACTGCTAAATGACATCACTAAACAGTAGCACAGTTAGCAAAATCTCTCAGTGGAAACAAGGAAGGACTGAGGAGGCTCACACGGATGAAGGCAGCTTTATTAGATTATCCAACCCCAAGCTGCTAAGGTTATTATCTCTAAAATAGTTTAATGGACCATCCATGCAGAACTGCCATCATAGAACTCTCTGCAGCTACTTCAGTCTATACTGTTTTCAGCTGTTGGACTACTATTGCTCTTTAGGTTGGCTGCTACTTCAGTGATAGAAAGAGTGTTTATATATTTTAGATAATTGTATTATTCCGAGAAAGGATCTAAAAAAATAGCTTTAGGGAAGACTTACTATGCATGCCCTTCATATTAGGCTTTTCTTATTTAAAACTAAGGGAAAAAATATATCTTACTGTTCTTCCTAGATGTACAGTGGAGAGATCTGGCAGAGCGGGCATACTCCAGGTTCCCTTGATAAAGTGGTATCACTTGGTGGGTCCTAGGAACTGTGTCTTCTCTTTAAAACAGAGGTCCCCAACCAGTGATGGGATTCAGCCAGTTCTCTCCAGATTGCTCTAACCGGTAGTGGCAACTGTGGGAGGCTCCACCCACCCACCTGGATGTAATGCGTGACTACTGTGCATGCAGAGAAGGCTGTGCACATGCGCAGAGGTGGCATGGGCAAATGAAGTGAGCGCGCCCATGTGCATGCTCACATTTGCGAACTGGTAGTGAAGGTAACTGAGTCCTACCTCTGCCTCAACCCCTGGTCTATGCCCATTCAGAACTGGGCTGCGGAAGCAGCGTGTGAGCGTGTACACTCACATAGTTCCATTTGTGCAAGCGGCAGGCGTGTGTGTAAAGCCGAAAAAATTGGGGAACGCTGCTTTACAACACTTGTCTTATGGAACAGTCTTGGCCCCAAGATTTTGGAGAGCCTCAACTCTAGTTGAGCTGTGAAGACCTGTCTCTTCCCCCAGGCATTGGGACTGGAAAATTAATGGTGCCATGGTATTTATGTGTTTGCCATGTTAATAAGATGACAAGACCACAGCTTGGGTTTTTAAAAATTAATTTTGTCTATTTTGTTTTTATGTTTTAATTGTTGCCCAGAACTCTACTAATTAGGTGGACGGGCACATGAATTTTTTAAACCAACAAATAATATGCTACATAACATAGCTGTGCTATATATCAATTTTCTTGCTTTAACAGGTGAACTACCACTTGGGTGGTAAGAACCGAGGGCCTTGGCTCTTGAGAGAAAGAAAAACCCTTCTCTTCTCAACTCTGATTCCAAACAAATGTGAAACTGATTTGTGTGGCAATATAAATGAAATTAATCATAACAGACACTCGCAGCTGGCCAGACCCATGATAAAATCCAGTATAGACAAGTGTGAGTATGCTTGGAGCTAATCAGTAAAAGATTAATTGGCACACTGAGTACTATGGTAATTAGAGGTGGAGAATATAGGATTTGTTAGGGTTGTCTACTGTTCCATCATCAGTAGCTCTGTTTGCATGGCATAATTGCCTCTGGATTAGTTAACCTTTTTTTTTTTTTGATCCACTCATCCAATCTGATGGATTTTCATAGCAAACTGACTGTTAAATTAGTAAAAATGGCTGGTTTAGATTAGACTAGTGCATGGCTATGGGGCGCAGTGGCTCAGTGGCTAAGACACTGAGCTTGTCGATTGAAACTTCGGCAGTTGAGCAGTTCGAATCCTTAGTGCGGCGTAACGGGGTGAGCTCCCATTACTTGTCCCAGCTTCTGCCAACTAGCAGTTCGAAAGCACGTAAAAAATGCAAGTAGAAAAATAGGGACCACCTTTGGTGGGAAGGTAACAGCATTCCATGAGCCTTTGGCATTTAGTCATGCCGACCACATGATCACAGAGATATCTTCGGACAGCGCTGGCTCTTCGGCTTTGAAACAGAGATGAGCACTGCCCCCTAGAGTCAGGAACGACTAGCACATATGCACGAGGGGAACCTTTACCTTTAGTGGATGGCTTAGTTTGTGGTCTGGTGTGTTGTGCAAATATACCAATTAGGTTGTTAGTTTGGAGAAAATGTTTCCAAGTTATTGTATCATTTCCCCTTTCTTCTATTAAAGAATGGGGAGAGGCAGTCGATCAAGACAATATGAAATCATTAGCCTTGCCGATGTATCCACAGACTGGCCACACCCTCCCTCTCATACTCTGGAGCCTGGTTGTGAAGGGCTAAGGTCCTCAGGCACATGAATCTGATTGTGCCATAGTATGTGGGTGGTATGCCTCTTAATTTCTTATGCTCTATTAATTTGGACAAAAACAAAGAATGGCTCCAGAGTATCTCTGGAACAAGACAAGGGAGTCATGAGGGAATAGTCAGCTCAGATTGTAAATTGGAGAACTAAATACCGCCACTGATGATTGAAGAGTTAGGACAGGTTAGCTCTTCTGGTCTTTGTATAATTTGGGGATTAGAAATAAACATGTTTCTGCTTGTCTGGATTTGTATGTTTACGCCAGTTCTTCTTGATTCACATTGATTAATCATTGTTTCAATTTTTCATGGTTCCCTCTGAAATGAGAAGAATTCATAGTTACAGATTATGAATCTAAGCAAGCAATTATTTTAAGTACTTTTGTACTAATAATAGGAAAAACAAGGGACGGTTTGAACTAAATTAGCTTCCAAGTGGAATTTGGAACTGCTTTGTGAAAATGTCACTGTGAAGAAAAAGTTTGATTTGAATTATAAAAACCATACTTTAACTTACACATGTAAATAAGTGTTTCAGTTGCTGGAATTTATTTCCGGATACATAAGAATACAGTCTTAAATTAATGTTTGTCCTGCTACCAAATTGCGATAGAAATAGCAATAGCAATAGCAATAGTGCTTAAACTTATATACTGCTTTACAGTACTTTACAGCCCTCTCTAAGCAGTTTAGAGAGTCATCATATTGCCCCCAACAATTTGGGTCCTCATTTTACCCACCTCGGAAGGATGGAAGGCTAGGTCAATTCTTGAGCCTGGTGAGATTTGAACTGCCAAATTGCAGTCAGCAGAAGTAGCCTGCAGTACTGCACTTTAACCACTGCACCACCATGGCTCATATAAAATGCTCGTTTCCCTGAGAAATGTATTCAAATTTTGAAATAGAACCTCTGGTCACAACCATAATTCGTTCAATAACTTTGATTGCAACCTGATTTGGTCATGTCGAGAACCTAACAAAAATTAATGCAAAATTAATGCAATGGCCACATGAGGTCGCTGTTTTTTGGCGCTTACAAAAAAAAAAAGTGGCACGGAAGGGGAAATCGACTGCGACCGTGTTTGATCACCACCTGAATATTTGTTCGTGACCAGATTCAAAAATTTTGTGAATTTTTTGGTCAGAACCCGATTTGGTCGTGGTCAGAAGTGTTCGTGACCAGAGGTTCTACTGTAACTGGCAATTTTGCCATGAATTAATTCAGTTCTATTGGTCTCTCTTTATTTTCTTGATTTTAAGAAAAAATGAAAAATAATATTGAATATGAGACATCATGAAGTAGAGTTGTATCATTAAGACGCTTATCACTGACTTAAATTTCTCCATGATAAAAACATTGGAAGAAGCCCGGAAAAAAATGGAACATGAAAAATTCAAATAAAGACATTATTGGGCATGGATCCAGGGTGGGTGGGGGGTGGGGTGGGGTGGCCATCTTGATAATGAGGGAATACTAGGAAAAAAAAGGTACTGTGGTCATGGATTTTAGACAGAGCACAATACTAGTGGCCTCTATGAATGGGGAAATGCTATTTCAAAGCTAACATAAAATGTTAGTATATTGCCACTTCGTGTTAAAAGGGGCACTTTGTTTTCTTATTGGAGGGAACTCCCCACCCCATTTTGGGATAATATTTAGCACCATGCTAGCACATTTGCAAAACAAGAGCCTAAATACAGAACTGCTAACACACTAGGAGCATGGGACAGTGTGAAGGTTGCCACCATGATCAGCATAAAATGCGTGAAGGGGAGTTAACAAATTATCTTCTTCCATTTTTGTGAAGGGGAGAGAAAGGATACAGGGGTGGGTTCTACTTACCTTTACTACCGGTTCGCAGCAAGGCCGCGCGCGCATGCTTGCTTCACTCACTTGTGAGTGCACTCTTCTGTGCAGAAGCATTTTTATGACGCCAGGGTCAGTGGGCAGAGCCTCCCACCAGTTTTACTACTGGTTCTATAGAACAGGTGCGAACTGGGGGCAACCCACCCACAAGGATAGTATAGGTAAGCAGGTATTCATTGCAAGTGAGCAGTGATTGGTTGATAACGTTTTTGTGTTGATAGTTTCTTCTGCTCAGCTATTAGTGAAAAGGGCAAGTGCTGATTGGCAGGCAGTTCTCTACTCCAGAATTGCAGATACAGTATATAACTATACATTATCGTGCCTGAATAGATATGAAACTGCCCATATTTGACTAAACTTGAATCCAGGAGATTCAGAAGAGCCTTTATTATTCTGTTAACTTTAATGACCAGTTTTTTTTCCCATGAAGTTAATCACCAAACACTCCCATGTATATTCAATTACATGGCCCAGGTTGGAAATAATTGTTGAAAACAGTGCCTTAATTTGCAAACAGACAGATGATAAAATCTTAATTTAACTTTTGAACTGCAAAGTGTACTTTTTTCTATGTACCTATCTAGCTATTATCTTCAGCCATATTGTATCAATCAGGTTGGATTATCTAAAATAAATCCACCGTCTCTTCTCTCTCTGCATTTTTACTACAGACTTATATAACCGTTGTGCTTCTAAAGTGCTAGAAATCTTTGAATAAACTCTTTGTTAAAATCTGATTTTGAGACAATGATATTCCTGGAAGTTAGGTTAACTTTGTACTTGGGAGAACAAGTGTACAACACTCTTACAATCACTGTAAAGGAATTTTCATTTCATGTTATTCTATTTATGGTCATAGATCTAAATAAAAAGTCCTAAAGACCTAAAGAAAAACAAAGCAAAATAATGTTTTTGTTTATTGTTTAAAAGCTGATCAAAATAAAAGTAAACTGTCAGGAAGCAATTAGTATCTTTTTTAAACCCAAGGAAAAAATGATTCTCTTGCTGGAGCAGAATTTGGCTTCTGATTCTAAAAGCAGAAAAAAAAAATTTTTTTTTTGTTCTGTCAGAGAAGTAAGATTGTACTGATTGGTCACATAATTGGACATAAAAAATGCTTCATATGTCCTGGGAAGTTGTCTAAAAGTGGAATAATAGATCTGTTCTTAAGGTATCTTTGTAGTAATAAAACATGGTTTAGGGATTCTCCTCTGTCCCATCCACAGGATATAATTAGTCATTATAAGGGGCTCTTTTAAATTTCTCTTCCATGAATTTCACAGATTTAAGGTCAACAAAGGCTGCATACAGATCTTGTCTGTGGCAGGATGGGTAAAATAAAGACATGGTCTAAAGATCTTCTTAGTGTAAAGTTGACCTGTTCATTATGGATAATCTGTTCTGAATCCAGCCAATTCACTAGCTTATAATTTAAGTACCTTGCATAAACTTTATTAATTAATTGGGTAATTGGGTTTTCTGGGGTATCCCTTCTCTCTGTCAAATCTTATTAGCGGGATGTATATAGAATTATAGAGTTTTAAAAGAAGAAGGAAACTTGGAAAAAAAATCTAGACTAACTTCCTATCAATACTACAAGATTCCTGATAGGTGGCCATCCACCTTCTACTTAAAATCTTGTAACAATTAACTGAAGCTAATTGGAATTAATTAATCGCTCAGATCACTGTCATGTGTAACATTCTAAACACAAAATGGGATAAGTTTAAAATGTATTAGATAACAGCTTCCTTCCTTTCCTTTTCATTTTCCCACCAGGGAATGGGATTCTAGAGTTAAATGCAAAATATAACAGATACCAGTTTGAAGAAAGAAATATAAGCAATGTGCATGAAAAATTACATCTTTTATTCAGAGAGCTATGGAAACATTTTTGGATTTTGGAAACTGGAAATTGAGTGAAGCCATCTTTCATGATCAGTACTACAGATTGTCAAATCCTCATGCCAGACACAGCGTCAAGACCTCACAGCAGGGCATTGTCATGGAAGCAAGAATTACGCAGACTTCAGTAAGGTGTTTTAATGCAAAGGTTAGGGATAAAGTAAAGAAGCTTGGAAACTGCATTAAGATCTTCGAGGCCTTTTTCTTCAGGACAGAGTTCCTTTGAACATTTTGATTCTCTTCTCCCCAGGCTATTTGCAAGTTGGACTGACTTGCCATTTATGAGACAAATGGCTAACAAGCTCATCTCCCATCTGTGCAGTGTTTATGTCTAGCATTTCTCCCAGTTCTTTCTCAGCCTCTTTACAAATAGGGTACAAATAGGGTGGATTGCTCCCGGTTCTGTCCAGTTCTTTAGAACCAGTAGTAAAAGCAGTGGGAGGCTCTGCCCACCCACATGGACGTCATAATTGAAGTGCGTGCACGCTCCCATTGCGAACCAGTAGTAAAGATAAGTAGAACCCACTCCTGGTACATACTGTATTCACTCATCACAAATATGGATTCTACATCTTTGTGAAGGAGAGTTGCCTTGTCTTAGATGCATAAGTCAGATTTTCCCCAGGCACAAGCTGCATATCAGAAATAGGAAAAGGAAAGACCTGACTTGGTTTCCCTGAGACTCTGATTAAAGGTTGAGATCTAGAAGATGATGGAAAATTCATTGGAATTTTAGTTTTGGAATCCATTTGTTTCTAAGGAATAGATAAGCAAGTCTAGCCAACCCCCCCATCCCCCCCACCCTGGATTAGGTAAAGATAAAGGTTCCCTCACACATATGTGCTAGTCATTCTTGACTCTAGGGGATGGCTCTCGTCTCCGTTTCAAAGCCGAAGAGCCAGCGCTGTCCAAAGATCTCTCCATGGTCATGTGGCCGGCATGACTAAATGCCAAAGGCGCATGGAATGCTGTTACCTTCCTACCAAAGGTGGTCCCTATTTTCCTACTTGCATTTTTTACGTGCTTTCGAACTGCTAGGTTGGCAGAAGCTGGGACAAATAACGGGAGCTCACTCCGTTACACTGCACTAGGGATTTTTTTTTTAATTTGATTTATATGCCGCCCTTCTCCGGAGACTCAGGGCGGTTTACAGTGCGTTAAGCAATAGCCTTCATACTTTTTTGTATATTTATACAAAGTCAGTTTATTGCCCCCACAAACTGGGTCCTCAATTTACCTACCTTAGAAAGGATGGAAGGCTGAGTCAACCTTGAGCCTGGCGAGATTCGATCTTACTTTAATTGCAGACAGCTGGTGTTAAATTACAGTGCTTCTGTCTGTTGAGCTAAACCAGGCTCCACCGACCTTTCGATCAACAAACCCGGGGTATGAAAGGGCTTAAGGGACATGGTGGCTTAGTGGCTAAGACACTGGTCTTAGCTACTGAGCCACCGTGTCCCTTAAGCCCTTTCATACCCCGGATCAAGATGATGTCTTCTTGGAAGATACACTAAGTGGTGGCAGCAGTAACTGCCAAGCAACTACCCAAAGAAAGAGATGAGACCATTGTGTGTAAACCAAGAGGGACATTTCTACTACATAACTCTTGCACATAAAAGCCATCATACTACATTAGTCCCAGGGGTGGGTTCTACTTACCTTTACTACCAGTTCGCAATGGGGCTGCGCGCGTGTGCTCTCTTTGCTCGAGCATGCACGCACTCTTCTGTGCATGCACAGAAGTGCTCTGATGACGTCGGGGTCAGTGGGCGGAGCCTCCCTCTGGTTTTACTACCAGTTCTATAGAACCAGTCCGAACCGGGGGGCAACCCACCACTGATTAGTACCTATTATTTTATTGTTTAAAATACAGGTTTTCGGCCATCTGATGCTGATGGACACATTGGGGATTTTGAAAACATATTACAGGTATTATTTCAAAATAGCTGCTACTGAGGTTTATCTATTCATACAGTGGCTGTTGTGAGAACATAATCATTTGCAAAAGTTACTTTATTTGATTGCTATATTTTTTTAACTTTCTCCTATGCATCCAGAAGAAATATCTTTATTATTTCTGCTTAGCTTTGTCCGCTTTCTGGATAAGTTGGCTTACTTCCAAACTAAGTCTTGCACTGAAGCTAGGTACAATTTTTATTTTCTAATGTAGTTTAGGGACAGTTTTCAAAAAGCTTCTTATAAATGAATATGAGAGTGCTGGCTCACTTTGTGATTAGTCAAAAGCAAAATCTCCTTCCATTTAAGTTTGACACCTGATCACTTTATAGACACATCAATGTAATTTTCTTGTTAACAATACAGAAATATTTTATCACTGCCTTCTTCAGAGATGTTTTTAGACCTCCCAAATCAGGATATAGCCCAGAAAGTCTATTGTAATCACTTATCCAAGTACTGACCAATTCCAACCCAGTTTAGCTTTGTCAAGGTCAACCAAGTGTTGTCATCTAATCTCAAATATCTACCAATTAGAACTAAACCAGGGGTCAGCAACCTGTGGCTCCGGAGCCACATGCGGCTCTTTGGACCCTTTGCACCCTGTCAGGTGATCCCACCATTGGCTGGCCCTGCCCTGCCCCTCGCCCTCCCCTCCCAGTCACTTCTGACCTGGTCTGAGAAGGTAAGGGCGATGGCAAGAGATGGAGAAGCGGCCAGGGCAGAGACAGAGAGATACAGGGGGGGGGGAGAGAGAGGGAGAGAGACATAGATAAAGAGAGAGGGGGAGATGGGGGAGAGAGGGAAGGAGAGAGTGAGGGAGGGGGGAGAGAGATATGTCAAAAGGATTTTGTGGTTCCTGGTGTTTTTTAACAACTGGTTCTCTGCCCTAATGACCGGCTGGGTAGGCGTGGCTGGGGGGGTGTCATGTGACTGGTGGAAGTGAGTGACATCGAGTTGGCCATGCCCACCCAGGTTTTGTGGCTCCCGGTGTTTTGTTTTCTGTGGTAAATGGGTCAAAATGGCTCTTAAGAGTATTTAAGGTTGCAGACCCTTGAACTAAACAAAATGAGAAACATTTGGGACATGACTAAGCTTACTGGCCTACATGCTGCAGTTCTTTCCAGTCCCTTATACCGAGTACCCACTTTCTAGGATTACATTTTCTGACATTTTACAGGCCTACTGTTTTGCACAAGGTACTTTTGGTACAGTACTTTTGGATTTTATCTTCAGAATGGTGGAAGAAATAATTATATATGTCTTGGGTTCCTTCTGAGCTTTCTGTTCTCTATTCCTTTGTAGTTGAGTGCAATTTACATTTTATTCTCTCTCTCTTACACAATCAAAAGCCCCCCCCCACTCTCTTCTGTGCAGACAAATGTGATCCTACAGAATGATGAGCATTTTGATAGAAGCCCCATAGAACTTACTACCACTGCTGAGATGGTTTGGAGATTGAGAGGTCTTGCCTCCTGCCCGTGGAGGTTTGGGTGGCCTTGATGGGGAGGAGGCATTGTGCAGTTTGCGTGGGACGAGTTCTCTGGCTTCATCCTAGCAGTTAGGCTGTTGCCTCACGTTGAATGGGTCCTGTACTTGGCAAGAACGATTGTTATTGTTGGGTTATAATAGAGTTGCCAAGGATTTGTATCAGTGGCTGTTGGTGCTGCTATGTTAGTCTTTGTGTGTGGCTTTTTTTTCCCTTTCCCTTTTTCTTTTTGCTTCCTTCTTTGCTGCCAGAGTATTTAAGATCACGATGACTATATTGTATTGGCATTGTTACTGAACCGATTACTTCACTTCCAAATGAATGAATGCAGGCTTTTAAAACAAAATTTTAAAAGCTTCATTACACATTTCACTACAGTTTCTGTTTTTAGTAGCAGGCTTGGAAACTTTGACACAATGTATGACTAGTGTGTTGGAGCATACTGGGGAGATCCAGATTCAATTCCTAATTTATCCATAAAGCTGTTAAATGATCTTAAACTAGCCACTCCCTCAGCCCTGCCTTCCTCAGACGGGATTGTGTGGATAGATGAGGCTCTGTTATAAAAGGGGTGGGACCAGTGATGGGTTGCTCCTGGTTTGACCCGGTTCGGGCGAACCGCTAGTGGCAGCGGGAGGCTCCACCCTCCCGCCCAGATGTCATCAAAAACGCTCTGTGCATGCGATAGCGAACTGGTACGTCGGGATTTGAAACCCACTACTGGATGAGACCATGATTGTGCGGTCATCATACTGAGGTGTTGTTGTTTTACTCTGTTCAGCAGACACTCCAGCTTGAAGAAACCCAAACCTCAATTGATATCCTGGGACAGGAGTAAGTTAATTTAGCCCTTTGTCCTGCTAAGTTGCAACAAAAGAACCCATTTCTCCTGAATCTGTGACTGGCATTTTGAACATTCCTGCTACAATTCCCTTAAGATTATTATTATTATTATTGTAGTATCAGGTATATCATTCTTTTTTCTTTTGTGTGAAATGCAGCAAGCATCATGATGGATTGGAGTCGATGCTATGCAAAACTCTTCTCATGTAATGAGGCTCTAGACCCTGAAATATTTTGTCTGCCGAGCTCCTGGGTCACACTTACACCTATTTGTGACGCAGGCACCAGCCATCCGTGCTTTATATGGCTCTTCAGTGCAAGGCAAATGGATGAGATCAGAGGTTTGTCAGCCTGCAGCTGAAACAGCTGAACAGTGGGATTAGCACATTAGGGTCTTCGGGAATGGGAGGCTGACCAAGCGAGATTAAAGCTTTGGCCAGCGGTAGCCATCGCATCCATCCAACTCTGTAAGTCGATGTCTGTTATCTTGGTAGAAGGAAGAATGCCAGTCAACAACTTTTGGTAGAGATAAAATGATAAGCATAGGGCAGAGTTGCTATGAAAAGAATGAATGGAAGGCAGGAGACAAGTTGTGGGGAGGGAAAGTCAAGCTGTTTGATAGCTGCTGCTGCTTCTCTACAAAGGTGAGAAGCTATCATTTCTCAAACAGACGTTAAAGCAGATTTCAGATTTGGATTTGGGCTTGAAATATTAGGTTTAGTAACATTGTTATTTGCTAAAAGAGGGACTCTGTGCTGCCACTTTTGCCAAATGGATTCTTGAACCTGACCTGGGAGATTTGGGATCGGGGGCTTTCTTACAGCAAGAATGACTTATCTGCCAGATTGCTACTACCCCTGTGACAGCAGTAAAGGAACATAAGGTTGGTCACTA